CAGGTACATTTATTTGTTTGTTTGAGCCTATTTAATTTATTTTGTACGTTTATTTATACACGCTTATACTCTTGTTTGATGCATCGAAATTTGACAGATGAGACGTTACGAAAGAGGGAGACTAAAGTCGGGAAAAAGGACTATTATTCCTCTTAACCTTATATCTTGTATATCTATTCCTTTCTTGTTTCTTCCTAACCTTAAATAGCAAAAAGGATTTTGGAATTACGCCCTTGGGGCTTAGCTGTAGAGATGATATAATAATAACCCTAGCATGACTATTACTATCATCATACGTCAGGTTAAAAAAAAAGGTTATTAATTGATAATTTATGTATATTTAGTGACGCAAAAATTCGAAACATTTTTTTTTTATTATAACTTGTCGAATTAAATTTTTCAGGTTGAATTCGATAGATTGTAAGTTTTTAAAAGTCCGAAATCTGGTTTTTGTAATTCATATGAAAGGCTTACAAATACCAATGATCAATTACGTAATTAGATCTTAAATTACCAGTATGATCAATCAAATCTTAGATTGAAAACAGTATCTAAAATTTAAACCAAAAATATCGGAACTTCTAATTATGTTGTCATTATTAAATATTTTATTTCGTTTAAATTTATTCAAACGTCAAAATTTTAGGCTACATTTGGATTTTTGACGTCTTGACGTAGAAAATAAATAATCTATACGTACCGATCATTATTTAAATAGGATAATACGTACGTACGTACGTAGATTTTACACATTTTAGTTTCAGTCTAATTCACAAGTGTGGCGCACAACCTACATCTGACGCATGATATAGATATATATATATATGCTATCGTTATCATTTAGTCAATACGTAGTTTGGATTTACTGTACTAAAACTAATACAAAAAACTGAATTTAGTATGTTTTTTAAACCTATTATTTATATTTTTTTTTAAAAAGTTAAAAACTTTTATATATAAAAAAAAATTTTTTTTATTAATAAACTATTCTATACTTTGTAATAAATTTAAATATATATATAATTTTATTTTTTTTATAATTTTTTAAAACGTATTTAATTTGTAAATTCAAACCATTAAAAAAAATATATAAGATTAATTATGCAATCAATCTAATTTTATTATTTTTACATATATATTTTAGCAGATTTTAAGCAAAAAAATTTGGATAGCACGAGTTTAACCTTGAACGACTTTCTTATGTTCAACAAGTTTCATATCACATTGATATGCCATACCATCATCTCTACGAGACCAATGATCAGCACAAGGATCACATTTGTAAGTTTCTTGAAGCTTAGCTCGTGCCTCACGTTTATGCGCACTACAAACATTGAGTCTCTCATCACGATTTTTAAGGGCTTTTGGCGAAAGTTGATTATCTCCAGTGAAAGACATCATGAGTTGGGGTGGACCTATATATAAAAGAATTTTGGCATTTACTTTCACGTGACATTATTAATGATAGGACAACGAAACTTACCGTATGGTAAAGGATCACCTCGATCAACTTGCCAAAAATGCCATGTCTAAACAAAAGAAAAAAAAAATTTGTATAGATTACTTAGGACGAGAAACGATAATGTAAAAAAGGCGTAGTATCCACATATTTTTTTATTTTACCTTGCCATACGTGTTGATCAAGTCTTCCATCACTTTTCCCTCTGCTTTATCAGAGACAGCCGTAGGAACCAAAGATCCGAAAGGACAGACTAAAATTCCTGATTTTACCTATAAAATTTAGCAATATTATATTTCATATGTTATATCGCGACGCCACCTGTGAGATGGATAAATGAAAGAATTCCAAACCTCATAAGTGTGAGAATGCCAATATTTCTTTTCCTCTTCGGAAAGTGCTAGAATTAAGAATAGAGAATAAAATAGAATAAATAATAGAATAGATGATAGAATAGATGATAGAATAGATGATAGAATAGATGATAGAATAGATTTGGTTATTATAAATAGATACAATCGCGATTGAGGAAAAAAAATTACTGATGGATGACGCACTTTGAAAAAGTCTAGCTGAAATGATGTATTCAACACCGATCAACTTAGCATCAGCTTCATGAGAGTCATAGATAACACATTGGCGAAAGTCGTCATTAAGGTGGCTGCAATAATGATGTGCTTCAACCTGTCGTGTCATGTCATGACTTGAGAAATAATAAA